TTTCATTAAAGAAGAACCCGTCCAGAGGACCTATACAATTTTTTTCCTTTGATTTTTTACCTGGATTACTGAGATGCATCAGGATATGTGACATGTGCTGATGACCACTTGACAAGGTCACCCTTGTAAAAGAGATCTCGATCTCAATGGGCTCTATCTGGTTAAATAAAGGTGATTGATTATACAGGAATTAAATTAATTTAATCTACTTATATTTATTTAATTCAATGTTTTATTGATTTGGCTGATTAATCGAAAAAATAATCGACAGATTTATCAATTATTAAAATAATCATTAGTTGCAGCCCTAATTAACATAACAGTACTTTCCAGTTCAATAAAAACGTGTGTAAACAAATCAACTTAATAAAAATTATTCACACATATAAATCAGGTTAAATTTCTTCTGTGGCTTTAAAGGAGTGTTCCCTTTCACGCTGAGTTACCTTGATGGTCGGGACAAAAGCAGCGGTGACGTAAGAACCCAGACGAGAAGGCATGGTGAGCTTGGAGACGTCTTTTTCCTCCTTCACTGCTGTGGCAATGACCTGCTGGCAGAGAAGCTGCAGCGCCGCGATGCGGTGCTCCACTCGCACGACGTAAAGCGCCGGGCCCGACGCCAGGAACAGACGGGAGTCCCGGTGACCCCAACAGAGTGTGGTGATGGGGCGCTGCAGTGGGGAGGGGAAGATACGTTGGAAGGTAAACCACGTTTTTTTTTCACAAGGTCAAGCCTCAAAAAGGGGCTGAATGGTAAATGTTCTCACTTTGTTTGCCTAACTTTTGTCCTTTGTCAAGATGTAATTTAATTTAATTTTCAACAAAGACATTTGTGAATAAATAATAAGGTTTGTGGTAAATAAAATGTTTTTTTTAACTTTATTCATTTCTTTAAAATAACAAAATTTATATACAATAAAAATACAAATCACAAATAAAATGAAAGGTGGCAGAAAGAAGAAAAATTTTTGTAGTATCTGTGCCTTTTTCTTCCCAAAAATAAATTTTTAAGCAATAATAATCTACGAACAAGAAAAACTAAACAAAAATGACCTCAAATCCTTGTTGAGCAACATTTCGTATGAATACACATTATATTGTTTCATATTTCTTTAACAAAGTGACTTTTATTATTCTCTTAAACATAAATATTGATCTGGCATTTTCGACGTCACTCTCCAGATTGTTCCACAGACTTATTCCTTGTATGGAAGTACACCGCTCCCTCAAACTAGTTCGAAATCCAGGTTTCACAAACAACTCTACCCGCTTCAGATCACAACAGCTTTCTCTCTTAACAAAATTTAATTGGTTGTTAAAGGTAATATTTAAAGGTAATATGATATAATAACTATATTTATTTTACAATAACTATAAAACATAATAATATAATATTTAAAGGTAATTTTTATTGTATATTGTATATAAAATTATTTGTTTTGTTTTAATGAAATTGATAAAAATTTAAACTGAAAAGGCAATATACATTTGTGAGCCTTATACAAAACCTGTAAAATATTATAATCAACTAACTCATAGAATTTCAATAATTTCAACTGATAAAATAACACCGGTGTATTGGGTGACTGTAGTGTTTTCTAGTGATAATTCTTACAGCTCTTTTCTGTAAAACAAAAATAGGGTTTACAATTGTTTTACATGCTTTCCCCCAAACTTCAACACAATAAATTATGTTATATTATACAACATATACAGAGATCTATCACTAAATATCTCCCTTACTTTATACAGTACTCCAATAGATTTAGCATTTTTTTTCTTAGATAATTTATGTGAGGTCTCCATGTCAGCTTTTCATCAATGATGTTGTAGTTAGTAGTAATGCTAGTAGTTTATTTTTAATACGATAGTCTATGCTTTAATTTGTTCTACAATTCAAATTAAATGCCAGAAAGTACAAATTGGAAAAACGGTTGGGAGCCACTGCTTTACGGGAATGAAAATAAAACATTATTAAGCTAATTTATTTTTTAAATGGCTGCAGTGAGTAGTTGTTGTTAACACAGATTTCCTGTTGTAGCTTCAGCTCATTACCTGTGCTGGTGTGTCGAGTGTGTAGGTGTGTTCTCCCCGAGCATTGTAGAATTTCACCATGGCATTCCTGGTGGGTGGGGGGCAGGGGGTTTCAGGTGAAAGGGAGGTTCTTTCCATCCCTGCCACAGCGAGGAGATCTCCCTGAGAGCACCACTGAACCACAACGTCTACAACATAACAGACAGAAAGAAGTCATTTTATCAACATGAACATGAGTCCAGTTTAAACAGTCACTAAACCCCACAGCAGACTGGAGACAAAAACAAATCAGCAAGTGACTGAGCGATGCAAAAAGACATAAAAATATATGTATTAATGTGAATAATAGGAAATATATGGACCTTTCAAACCAGTGTGGATWAGAGTGGGTGAGAGGTCATCGTAAYTGTTCATCAGGCTGATGTCTCCAGAGGTGAAGCTGACTGTTAGAAGAGGTTTCTGGCTGTGCACTGAGACGAAGAACAGAAGAAGTATCTTAGGCAACCGGTGGGAGTTTTATTTAAAAGACACGGGAACAGTTTCATTAGTTTGTGTTTTTACAGTTTTCAGGCTTTGCTTTTACCATCTGCTTCAACTGACACTAATTTAAATTACTGTAACACGTTAAGGTTTGATTGGTTGCTGCCTACAGAACATAACAAACGAGACTTCCAGGACAAAGGGATGTCTGAAGAATGGAAGAACATAACATTTGTGCAAACCTAATTTAGGATTATGAAGTCAACATGCAAACCAAAACTAAAATCTACCTCAAAGAGGCTCTTCATCTCACTGAGTTTGCAACCTCTGTTGTCTACCTCATTTAATTTTTAGATTTACACAGCTCCCTAAATTAGGTAAATATAATGCAGCTATTGCAACAAACAGGTTTAAGCCTCCCCACGCTCTGAACAGGATGAAATCCTTTAAAAGTGCAGCACGGTGCAGTGATAATGGATCATCACCATACATTGTGACAAAGACACATGGTGTTTAAGTCGGGTTGTGAACTGAAGAGCCAATTTTAAAAGGGACCAATAAATTCTTATTGAATGATTTAATTAGGGAGTTAGAGCATAATCAGTGTTCCAGCCCAGGCAAGCACTTTTCAGCTTTACCACTAGGCCTGCGGTTAGGGAATAGAGAAAACAAATAGCAAAGTGGTCCAAAGACAGACCCACAAACACACAAACTTGGCAAGTGGGAGTAATTAAGGTGGCAAGAAAATACGCTCATTATTCGTGCTGGTAAAAACAAAATGTGAAAGCATTAGAAGAAATCATTTTTTTACTTGTGGCTGTAGGTAAATAGTTATCTTCTCTTTTCAGGCTTTATGGAACAACATTGCATAATGCCTGCAAGCTCAGAACTACAGTACAGATAACCAATGTGGAAATATTTAGACCACCTTACACTTAAAAGTGTAGAAAAAAATATAAATATATATATCTATATCATTTAAAAGATTACAAATCTGCGAAATTCTGTACAACAAATGCAATCCTACAGTAAAAGTTAAGCATTGCTGCAATGTACCCCATTTTTGTTTCTGTTATGGGTGTTTTACCTGTAAAGTTCACTAAAGAGAAGTCAAATTATTTTAATATAATTGCAAATAGAGCTATCCTAACCTTAAAATGCTGACTTAAAGATTTAAGCATTAGTGTGGAATCAAATACAAGCACACTAAACCTAATATGAGAGACAAAAAGCTTGATTTTTGAGGAACTTTTAGCTCATATGTCCTATGTTGGTCATCAGTGAGTCCAAGAAAAGGCAAAAGGTTGAAGGTGAGGATCAGGTTCAAAGGTCATTTTTTTGTTCAGATAAAGCTCATGGGGTTATACCTTTAGGTGGAGTGTAATCATCAGAGTCTGTGTCACTCTCGCTGCTGTCCTCCACCAGGAAGCTGGGATAGTTCCAGGACATGCTGACAATACCATCTGACTCATGCAGCAGTATGTGGGCCAGCATACGCCCATGGCAGTCCATCACTATGACCTGTCCGTCTGCGGTACCAAACAGCACCTGAGGAAGAAATGGGGTGGCGTTACTTGGAAGAACATGAAAGAGCAAAATAAAAACAGAACAAGGAAACAGATACAACAAATAAAAGGGAATGGTTCTCTCAGAGAAATGGTACAGTAGACGAGTAAAAGCAAAAAGAGATATGATTGAAGGTGGGACTGTTACCTGCTGGTCATCAGGAGTCCAGATTCCACAGGTAATCTGGCTTTCCAGGTTGATCTCAGAAGACCAGTGTCTTTGTCCACTRACGGAGCCCACCAGGACAAACCCATCACGATACGAGATGAGAGCCTGCGTGCCATCATGTGACCAGGTGAAGTCACTCACCTACAAGAGTCAACAATTAGACATACTTCAATGTTCAGATGCTTTGCTTTTTCCATTCTATGAGGCAGTCAAAGTCAGTTCAAAGTACATTTTAAAAAGTAAAACTGCACTTTAAATTGCTGACACACTTCTCGATGACCTTGTCCTTACCTGAGCTCCACGGTCGTTGACGAGCTCCACAGACCAGCGGCCCTCATACTGAATCCAAACAAAGATCCCTCCGTCCATATCACAAGTGGCCAGTTTCTGGAAAGGTTCATTCCACCGCACCAGTACCACCTTTAAGGCACACAAAAAAGTAACAAAAATAAACAAACAAAAAATGTAAATCAAATTCTCGATTTGCAGAGCAAAATGCAAATAAGCTAATTCAAGTCTGCATAAATTCACATAGAAACGGTTCTCCTAACAGAGCTTTAATCATTCATTATTTAATATATAGTAAAGTTCTCAAAGAACCCATCATCATGCCCAGTTAATTTATTCTAAATGAGAATTAGCAGAGTGTCTAAAGCAGTAGGTAATATCTCAGAGCCTAAATTTAGAACAATGTTGGATAAAAAATAGAAAAAGTGGGTTAACCTCATTCTGAGACAAGTCACAAAAAAGCAGCAATCATCCAGCGTATTATGAAAAAAAAAAAAAGATACTATTTAGTTCCTGACACAAACTGTTAGGCTATGAATGTGTTTCTATGATCTAATTTCTGGTTTTAACATTACTTGACAAAAATAGAATAGCTGGCTTCTACTGTGTTTATTTTACATCAAAGGYTATTTTTATTCCCATTTTAGATTTCTGGAGAGCACTCCGTTTGTTCACATATAAATTTTTCAACACAAGTTAAAAAGAAGAGAAAGCAACAATAAAGATAAGATAACAAAAGAAAAGATAAGATAAGATAACAAAAGAAAAGATAACAAAAGAAAAAATAAGATAACAGAAGACAAGATAACAAAAGAAAAGATAAACGATAAAAGAAAAGAAGATAAGAAAAGAAAGAAAAGAAAAAAGAAAATAAGATAACAAAAGAAAAGATAGATAAGATAACAAAAGAAAAGAAAAGACAACAGAAAAGATAAAAGAAAATATAACAAAATATAACAAAAGATAAGATAAGATAAGATAAGATAAGATAAGATAAGATGATAAGATAAGATAAGATAAGATAAGATAAGATAAGATAAGATAAGAATTAGATTTTATTGTCATTGTTGCACTGAAAAGAACACTGCGGTCCACAGACAATAAGATAAGATAAAAATGTAAACAACAACCGTAGCAAATAAATCATAACATTAAAAAAGGATTAAATAAGAGGTAGAAAAAGAATTTAAAAGTAAGATAAAATAAGTTTTAAAAAATGTAAAAAACAACAGAGTGGTTGTAAGACAGAGTAAGAACAGTGTGCGGACGCATCACCATCCCCTCAGAAAATCTACAGCGTCTGTAAACGTGCAGGAAGACAAGCAGCTTATTCCAGCACTGACTCGGCTATGAAAGGATTTGTGTGTTTCTCTTGAGCGATAACACTGATGGACCGTCAATGGGCCTCGGGTGTAAGATGCCAAGGAGGAAGACTTTAAAACACCGTCAGAAAACAGATTAGATTGAAGTATTTATAACCAGTTTTGTTGACACTGTCACCCTCATTAAAGGTGCACATTATGCCTCGCTCCTCTCTCCGGTCTTGTGTGGCGTGACTCAGCCTATTCCCAGAGGAGTAATCCTAAGAAAAGAGCAGCTCTGCTTTCACTCACTGAAGCACGTGGGCTTTACTTGCTTAAACACACAACACAGGACAGGGTTTTAGTGTGGCTTAGGCTCTCAGACTGCAACTTCAGTACATCAGACTGTGTGTCGGATGAACCAACTGGTCTGCTTCGCTCATTTTAAAGAACAAAATCTTCCCTTTATTCTTGCGCAACACACGTCTATAAAACGGGTGTCACCATGTCACAGCTCAAACTTCTCAATATCTGTAAACTGACTAATTTACAGCCATTTAATAAGACGATAACACACTATTATTTTAATGAGACAGTTGATGGTGTTATTGCACTGACACAAAATCCATCTCAGTGAATGAGTAAACTCAAGAAAACTCGTGATATTTACAATGATGACACATTTGTCTTTGTCCTTTACATTTAAAGCCTGAAGTGATAAAACATTGATCAAGTTATCCAAGTGAGTTTAATAGTGATTGAATTAGTCACCCAGTTTGGTTTAAATAAGCATCAACAGTAAAATACTTGACTGTTTTCAGTCTTCAGCTTAGATAGACAATTTTAACAATCAAGATATATATATTTTATATGCTAACATAAAAGACAATATTTCCTCAAATGAACTTTTTGGGGAAAGAGCTGTCTTTCTAAAAGGAGTCGGTGAACAACCTAAAGGCTTCTTTGTGTCTTTTAAATAGGTGATGCTATAGGAGAAGCTACAGGGAAATATCTTTAACAATTTTAGGAAAACATGTTGCTTAGTTTTTAACACATATTTCAATTAAAATAAATTCCAGATGGTATTACATAAAACAGGACTTAAAGGCATAACGTAGTTTAAATAAAAAATCTAACAATCATTAAAATGTTTAAAATAATAAAAAAGAAAAATAGGGGTGCACAATATATCGTCGCCTCAATCTCAGATTGTGCAATATTCATATCGCAAAGAAATGCTTGGAGTGCAATAATTGTTGACTAATGTTTTTGAAGAATTTTTAAGTTTTTTTATGATAATAATGCAGTTTTTAGTCAGTAGGATGGAGTCTTACAGTAGCAAAAGCTCAAACTAGACAAATAGCATTGCCAAAAATGCTAAAGGTCACATAGAAAAAGAAGTACAAAAAAAAAAGCAACCTCAGGTTTACATGCTGAAGTTCCACGTGTTTTCCAACTCACTACAGTCCCAAAGAGCAGAGACTAAACTGTGAATGTATGTAAATTTAGCTCAGCGTGGAGATTAGCGTTAGGTTGTGAGACGTCCTGCGAAGGGGACAGCTGAGCACCTCTGTGACGCTGCCATCGGGAAGATCAGACATCACATGGAGACAGACGAGACACAGCAGGACAAGAAGGGGTCAGAGAGAGAGCGATCACGGCAAGAGCAAACGAACACACGAAAACACAAACACACAATTTAGCACGTGTTCCTGTCAAATACAGGACCATTCTCCATATATTTAAAACATTGATTATAAAATTAAGCAGGTTGATTTAAAATCAGGCACAGAAAAGTATGGAAAAATATGTCTTCATAGTGGGTTTTGTCGGTGGACCCAGGTCCAACAGAATCCTGCTGGTAAAGTTGACGAACCCCTATGGGTGCAGTTTTAGGAAAATCAACTGACCCTTTCAACTTTACTGAAAAGACCAAATCAAATCATGGGACAGCTTGGTGTTGAATTGAAATCAGCAGAACTGAAAGGACACTTTGCCTGTWAAGTGCAACACTTGTCCAGAACATTGTTGCAAACAAGCTAAGAGGTTTTTTATTAAATAAGCTACTAAGAATATAACAAAAATTAAAATTAGGTCAAGTACCATGCAGAAACTCAATTTCTGTAAATTATAACAGCAATATATATATATATATATATAAAATAGCAGTTGTGTAGGGTTTTGGGACAAATTTGACAAGAATTGTTAATAAGTCAAGTTAATCCAATTGATGTACGGTCAATTTTGAAAACAAAGAAGGAAATAGACCAACATCTCCTGGGTGTTACAAGATTTTAAATCAACACAATCTGCTCATACAAAGGCAAGGCGGTCTGAACAAAGCAGAATAAATGAATTTGCAACGTGACGTTGGCGATCCTTCAGGGAGGCTGGATTTCTTCTTCTCCGAGCTGGGAATGTGATGTACTCTCCCCTGGCAGATCTGATCTTCTTACTGAACATCAAACCGAGGCAAACCCAAGCAGAGTGCCAGTTTCATTTAGGTTTCTGAGCTCGTATAATATCTTCTCACATTTTCAGAACAAAACAAACAAGACAAAATGAGTAAACTTCATCATATGAATACATTATTTTACAACTTTTTACTATTAAAGAAAACTTGCCATGAAAAGAGAGCAAGTACATCTAGAACCTGCGGTGGCAGCTGAGCAATAAGGTTATGCAACGTTTTCTCTAAGGATGGATTACCACAGTAAAGCCATTACCATTAAGCACATTCAGTGAGACCATTGTAACGCAGTGAACAGATCACATACGATTCAAACCTCCGCAGGACATTTATTGTCAAGAGGTCAGGCAGGTAAATGACAGGGTTGTCACCAGAACAGAGAAAGAAGAGGAAGTTGGAAAACTAAAATGCAGAGGAAATAATTAATTAAAGAAACTCAACTCAAGCAGTCACTTCACCTCCACTGCCATCACTTATGTGCACCTTTATACATTTATTTTATTTATACTTGGTTTGATATCAGTATATATAGTGATGGTTGATGTAGATGTGCATTATTATATATTATTTGTATATAATGTTTATTCTTTCTCTTTTATTCTATCTTATTTGATCTTAATCTCTCCTGTACTGAGCTGCAGTAATGTGCAAATTTCCCCATTGTGGGATCAATAAAGGTTTTTTATCTTAAAGTTTTATCTTGAAAAAGAAAAGACTTTTCATTCAAATTTTATGATCCCTAACCAATGCAAGCAATCATAGTGGGGATCACAAATTGCACAATGTTTCACACAAAGTTCATCTTTTCTGTCTATTTAAAGAGCTGTGCAGTTTCCAGACCAGTGCAGATTCTTCAACAAGCCACCTACCAGAGAACGAGACTGATTTATTCATGGCATTTTCATTAAAAAAATAATAACTTAACGATTGCCAGCGTCACGCAGTTCATGCAAAAATTGAGAAACTAAAGCATGAATCATCTATGATAAAATAACCACTAAATACACTTTCACCAACTAAATTTTACCACAACTTTTGTAATAAATTAGCAAAATCAACAGTTGTGTTTTGTTGCCAACAATTATGAGTCAGTTGTTTACATTCAGTCACTGAAGAGTGAACTTTAATGCATCTGTGCATTGCTGTCACACAAAGGTGTAAACCTCAGAAACAACAATAGTTTGGGCTCAGACAGACTGCCAGTTCTAACGTGGTTATATTTAACACCTTGTACAAAGTTAACACATAACTGCAAAGCATCTGCTGCTTAGCTTTCAAGGCTTATTCTAATACCCAATATCTGACTGACAATACTAATCTATGTTTATGGGACTTGTGGGAACATAAACAGGAAAATATTTCTAATTATTTGCACTACTTGGCATATAAGTAATCTTATATTGTATCTGATAATTCAAGATAAAAGGAACATACTGTAACTTCCACAATACCAAGACTATATGCTCTATTTTTGTATTTTACCATAAAAACTGAGGAAACTTGTTGCATGAAATTATGGTTAAATACAAAATTATGTGCTTGAATAATATCCACAATATGTGACACTAGGTGTAATAAAACTGATAAAAAAAGGACAAACGTTTATCAGCATGTTACAAGACCTAAACAAAACTGTTTGGGATGTAAATAAGATAACAGGAGGCCACATAATGGGTATCATAAGACAACAAAACATGTTTTTACTCCCATTTGTCTGCAGATTAAGCTCCTATTCTAAACACTGACAGAAATAAGAGTCTGCTCTAAATCTTAAAACATCTCACAGGCTAAAAATTTGGCTTTTACATTATTTCATGAACCAAACATCTTTTAGAATCACGCTTCTAGATAAAAAAATATATATCAAAACAATGGTTAAACTTAATATTTCCACCATTACCACTGGTTGGCTAACTTTGTTTCCCTCCAAGAGGAGTCAGTTTTTGCAATTCTTGCTCCGAATATGACTAGAGCTAATTTGCGTGCGAGGACACAYATCAGAATTAGTGACAAGTGTACAATGACAATGCTGACGCCAAAAGGATGGGACTGTTAGGAGGTGGAACTGCATTTATGCTGAAACAGCAGATTTTGAAAACAAAGAAAGGTTAAACAAACAYCTTGCAGAAGCTATTTTCAAAGAGAGAGAGAGAGAGAAAAAAAAGAAAAAAGGTTCAGCTGTTTGTCTGCTTGAAAACATTTTTCAAACCACAAGCCGAGATCTATTGTAATAGATGTCTGCGTTCTGTCCTCTTCGCTTCAAGCGGGATGAAAACTACACCAAAGTGCAATTAAAGATTTGTTGCATCTTGAAAGGATTCATTAAGCTCCTTGATTTCTACTACTGTTGGGAGCTTATGTTTAATTTATTTATCACTTAAAATTTTGACTCAACRTATCGTGAATGGGAATTTCTCAGCTCTCAAGAGAAAACAGCCTTTTTCTCCCATTTCTGATTTTGAATGGAAACCATTTTGATTAGAAATGAAATAAAGCATATTCATCTCCAGTTCTAGTACGGTGTAAATCATGGATAAAAATGAACAGTACAATATCTAACAAGCAATGTGCGATAAATTAAAGAGAACTGAAAGTAAAGCAGCTCCGTATTGAGACACTGTGRTTTATTTAACAATCTTTTATTTTAAGCTTTGTTTAAATAAATTGAGAAAAAAATTCTTGTCKTTCTGYTGTTCCCTCTTCAGGGTTTTACCACAGCGAATCATCTCCACTACATCCATGTATCTCCTCTGGCTTTTTCCTGGCAGCTGCATCTCTAACATCCCTCTACAAACATACCCACTGTGACTCCTCTGAACATGTCCAAACCAWCTCTGGCCTCTTTATCTCCCCGTTGTTCAACCTGTGCTGTACCTCTCATGACCTCATTCCTAATCTTATCCATCCTTGTCATTCCCAAGGAGAASCTGAACATCTTCAAATCTGCCACTTCCAGTTCTGTCTCCTGCCTTTTTTTGTCAAAGCCACCATCTCCAAACGCAGAAAAACTAATTCAACATGAAACATAAAACAAAGGGGAAAACTGTTGAGCATATTTGACCTTTTCTAGACAAAATAAACAAAGCAACAACAACAACAACAAAAAAAAAATCAGTACTGTATCTGAGCTTGGACTGAATTCAAGTGGGCAGAGTTAAATGACATTTTTGTTGCGCTTCAGTCACTTCACGCAGGGATTCATCCACTYTCCTCTCAGCTGCCTTATGGAACGCTGACACAGCACAATGCACCATCTGACCAACAGCTACACCCACTAAAAGAGGACACACAACCTGCGTGCAGCCCCCATTTGTGCCAGCCTTGTTGCACGTCACTGATCACAAAATTGGGCTCTCGCACACAGCAGCCGTCACACTCAGGTTCAAGTCATACGATTAATCTGAACACACACTCAGCGTGCTTGTGATAGAAAACTTTAAAGAGTTTGAACTAGGGTTGGGCAATATTGGCAAGAAAAAAAAAGAATCATGATTAATTGTGTTTATGATGTAAACATGGGATCAGAGCAACTTTTTTTTAACTCATCTTTCCTATTGTGTATTTCCAAGCTGCAAAAGATAGCACGACCCTGTTGCACAAGACCTGTTCACCTGTTCCCCCATGTTTTGTTGTATGTTTTTCTCGAACAGGTGATCCTGCATTTCGTTCTTCATTGCATCTCTGATGTTATGTTTGAATGAAAATAAAGCGAATCTATCAATCCATTTAGCCGAAAACGATTAATTTGACAATTAATCCCCTGGAGTTCCTAGACACACTTATGTCCTGGTCCCATGACCAATTTAGTGGGAAAGATTTGCTCTTCATAAAAATCTGTTCCAAATTGTGTAAAAATTATAGACTTCAGGCTATACATACATTTTAAATTGTGTTGATAGACAAATAAATTACAGAACCTTTTTTTTTAAATGTTCATCATATTTGAAGCAGAGAGGAGCATCAAGTGGACTGTGCCTGGTGGCATTAATCGTATTTATTAATCGTCAAGTGCCAAGAAATAATCGATTGTTTTTCTGACGATTCACACGATATGATTATGCCCAACCCTAGTCTGAACATGCTAACAGTTATTAGCAGCACTGGAGACTACAGCAGTGCAATGTTTTGACTGGGAGCAGCAGGGAATTCTGATGCCATTACTATTAGATCAGGAAGAACATGCAATATAT